GTCTTCTACTCTTATTCCCTCTTCTTCTTCCCATTCCCTCCCCCCATTTCTTTTTTTTCCATCCTCCTCCCTTTATTCTCTCTTTCTCCTTCCCCCATTCTACCCAAACGCATTTTTCGTCTTCCTTGATTTTTTCGTCTTCTCTTTCCATTTCTCCCCTTCCCTTCCCTTTCACCCCATCTTGCCTCTTCCTCCCCCTTCTAACCACTTGGCCCTTCCCCCTTCCTCCTCCCCCCCTCTTCCCCCTTTCCCTCCTCCTCCTTCTCCCGTTCCTCCTCCCTCTTCCAGCTTCCTCCTCTCCCTCCCGTTCCTCCTCCCCCTCTCCCTCCTCCTCCCCCTTCCCCCTTCCCCCTCCTTCTCCACCTTCCCCCCTACCCCTCCTCCTCCCCTTGCTAGTTTCCCCTCCCTCCCCCTTCCTCCTCCCACCTCCGCCTCGGCCACGTGCGTGCCTTCAACCTGTTCCCTTCCGCCGAGTGCATGCTTTGTGTCCGTCTTGGGCGTCTGCTGGTCCCGCCTGAATCCCTTGGGGAATAACCTGCGCTTCGTCGGCGCGAAGGACAAGGGCTTAGAGAGATTTGCTTTTTTTTTTTTTTTTTCCTTCTTCTTCTTCTTCTGATTTACTAGATTTTTGAAGAATGAAATGGGTACACACGCGCATTCGTGTCTATACATAAGTGCTTAAATGTATATGTATATACGTATATGTTCAAATGTGTGTATATATATATGCATATATATGTATATTTGTACATACATACATACATACATATATATATATATATATATATATATATATATATATATATATATATATATATATATATATATATATATACCTGCAAAGATACCCTAGAGCAAACCCGGAGCCGCAGGCGTGTTTGTACTTAAACGAGAGAAACATTTCATCACATGAGTCAGCTCTCATTCTGCAAATGGACTTTCCATTTCGCGAGCAATCGTCTGGCATTCTCTCAGTCCAGCAGTCTTCTGATATTCAAATCTTTCATCAACAAAAACTCTGATCACTGCCAATCTTGCTATTTTCTCTTTCCAACTCCCACTTGGAAACTTTCTCTTAAAAGCAATTCTTACGAACGACTTAATGCTTTTCAAGTTTTATTTCTCATTTGTATTTTTTTTCTCTTATTTTTCTCTATTTTTTTCCTTTTCTCGTGGTATTTCCTTATCTTCCTTTCATTCGGGTTTATCTCTCCTATTTCTTCTTTCCTCGTTGTTTCAGCCCTCCAGACTTTTATTTCACTTCCCTTCTCCCTCTTCTTCCTTCTCCCGTACTTTTTCCTTCCTCTGCTTCCTCTCTTTGGTCACTCATTTATTCCATTTTCTCCTTTTCTCTCTTTCTCTTCTTTTCTGCAATTTTCCCTCTCCCTTTTTTTTGTCCATTTTGATTTACCTTTACTCTGCTCCTCCATCTTTTCTTCATCTATCCTTTTTCGTTTTGGTTTCCCACTCATTTTTTCCGTCCTACCCCTCCACCTCCTAATTTTCCTTCTCTTCCTCCTCCTCCTCTTCCTCCTTTTTCTTTTTCTCCTTCGCCTCCTCCTCATTTTTCCGTCCTCTTCCTCCTCCTCCTCTTCTTCTTTCTCCTTCTCTTTTTTCTCCTCCTCCACCTCCTTCTTCTTCTCCTTCTCCTCCATCCTCACTTTTCCGTCCTCCTCCTCCTCCTCCTTCTTCTTTTTCTTCTCCTTCTCTTTCTTTCTCTTTCTCCTTCTCCTTCTCCTTTTCCTTCTTCTTCTTCTTCTTCTTCTCCTCCTCCTCCTCCTCCTCCTCCTCCTCCTCCTCCTCCTCCTCCTCCTCCTCCTCCTCCTCCTCCTCCTCCTCCTCCTCCTCCTTCTCCTCCACCTCCTCCTCCTCCCGCCCGTATATCACACACCCTCCCTTCCCCTTCCCTTCCCCCCCCTCCCCCTCCTTCCATCTCGCCATCGGTCTGTGATTGCAATTACAGCGTTCTCTGTATCAACTTTGCCTGCCGCATATCTTAGGGTTTAGGGGGCCAGATATTAGTGTTAATGGCAGCAGACCTGGCCCTGACTGGTCCAGATAACTTCCATGTTCCACTTAACCGAATTATCTTGGCCGTTGCTCCGTCAATGATTAGTTAGAGTGCCCTCTAACGATCGCAAAGGATGGACATGCGCGACGGATAATTGATCGATTTTTTTATGTGTCTCTTTTTTTTCTGTTTGTATTTTCGTTTATTTTCTATTTTTTATTCATATATTCTCTTTCTTTGGTTCGCTCTCTGTCTCTGTTTCTGTCTGTCTCTCTTTCTCTGTTTGTCTGTCTGTCGGTTTGTCTGTCTGTCTGTCTCTCTCTCTCTCTGTGAGTGTGTGCGTGTGTGTGTGCCTCTGTCTCTATCTTTGTCTGTGTCTGTCTGTCTATCTCTTTCTCTGTCTCTCTATGTGTCTGTCTCTGTCTCTGTCTGTCTATCTGTCTGTCTCTCTCTCTCTCTTGTGTATATGTATACCAAATAAATGCATGACTACATTCACGCACTATAAATGAGCATATCTAAGTGCGAGCAACATTGAAAAAAAAGATTGAGCAACATACATAAAACACACTGACATAGCTCAGAGCACATTCCGGAGCTGCCACGTGACCATCTCCCGAGCGAGCGAATCTGGAGCCGAAGCAATCACGAATCCCATGTCTAGCGAGTTTAAGGGCGCTTAGGCGTCTCTCACGGCCGTAGATCGGTGATATGCGAC